TGAATGCCCAGTGTTTTGGAACAGCTGTATTGAAACTCCTTAGGCCTTCCAGTCATAAGCTGGACCCCTTATTCACTCCCAGAAATTCTCTTTTTAGTGGGACCCAAGTATAACTCGCTGAGTGGGAAGGTGTAACTTTATATATAGCTTTATTCAAAATCATACCCTGTAGCAGGCATGCTGATCTTGTTAAAGCAACTGAATCTCTTGCCCAGTTTCCTCCCTGGGCTGGATGGCTTGGGATCTTTATAACGAGGACTCCTATTACTAGGGGGAGTGGTGTAAACCAATTTCATGAGCCCCTAGTTGGCAGCCTTCATGGGGGAGCAGTTTGCTGGATGAAGAAACAGGAGGGGATAGCTGTGTGCAGTGGGAGTGGACATGAGCCCACAAAGGGGATGTACAGAGAATCCATGAAGTTTCCACCTGAAATGTTCATTGACCCAACACTGGAATCCCAATAATTGATTGGTGCAATTTAGGCAAGCCAGCTAGAACTCGGATTTTGAACCAGTGCTCTAACTTGACTCCCTGTCTCTGAACAGGGGCAAGCTGCAGAAGCAGTGAGCCAGAGTCCTGGGACAGTTGTGATGTGTGCTCAACAGTTTGGTCTGGTAGCCTGTTATGGGAACAATTAAACATACTGTACCTCCCCCCAGCTCTCCTGGTAGCAACATCAAATTGCCTGTGGGTTAGTGTAACTAGCTGCTCATGTACCTGACATCTGATCTTCTCTTAATGCTCCTTTCAGGTCAAGGTGACACTGTGAGGTGTTTTTACTGTGATGGCAGCTTGAGGAACTGGGAGCTTGGAGATGACCCCTGGAGGGAACATGCCAAATGGTTTCCAAGGTAATTCAGGGTATACTAATGCTTTTGGGGGCTGAACTACACATTAGTCAGTTTTATACTGAATGGTCCTTGCTCCACAGTCAAACCTCATGCCCCAGGTGAGATTTAACTGGATTATTAGTACGTAGAGCCGTCTATCTCTGTTATCGGTTCAAATCCAACCACCTCAATAGTGAACAAATAGTGCTGCTAGCTGATAAGCCTACGTGAAATGAATCTGGTGGCTTATGTCCAATTTGCATCATAAAAACTATATCCTGGAACAGCTTGTGGTCAAAGCAGGCATTTTAGTGAGGTCAGTCTCTTGGTAGTTCCTGAGAACTACCCCAGAAGCTCCCATCCTAATAAGCTGCATTGTTACTGTTACAATCTTTTCTCTCCCTCATTCAGGTGGTGGTGATGATAATCATTGTACACGTCTATCATTGTAGCCCCTCCAGGCCATAACCAAGTGGAGAGCTGTTGGGTTAGGCATCGTACAAATCTACACGACATGCGTCTACAAGTCTAATGCTTTTCAATCAAAATCACACACTAGAACTCCGCCTGAGCTGTGGAGTTCAGACCCCAACATCTATAGAGTTTATGGACCGTGATCTGTGGGTCAATCTCTATTACCACTGCTTCATGGTAACTTTAACACTGCTAACAAAGTCTCTGCCCCTGGACTGCAGCAAAAACTCACACCTGCGGAGAAAAAGGCAAATACCCAGTGAAGGACAGCAGACCTTGTCTGAAATACAAGCCCCATGAGGGTGGTACTAAGCTCCCTAATGAAACAGGGTGTACAAAGCACAAATGTCATTCTTGCCACAGTGGACAGGCCCTCCCCTGCTGTAAAAAAATCTTCCTGGTCAAGCAGAAAGACTGGTGGTTTGAGGCTCCTGATCTCCCCAGAACAGGCCAGACTTCATTTTAGGTCTGTGAGATTGGCTTTTGCAATTGAACCTTTCAGACAGACTGGATCACGTGGAAAATGGGTTTGTGGCCTCACCTGTAAGAGCCACCACACCAGGACTAGGTGTATGACATCCTGCCATTTACACATGAAGGCCAATACAAGTGGAATACAAGGGCTGCTCTGATGCCAGTAAGAGACAAGGGCAGTGTTAAAGTTACCATGAAGCAGTGGTAATAGAGATTGACCCACAGATCACGGTCCATAAACTCTATAGACATTGGAGTCTGAACTCCGCAGCTCAGGCGGAGTTCTAGTGTGTGATTTCGATTGAAAAGCATTAG